AACTTTTTCTCTTATTTTCTTGTTGCTCCAAGATTTTAGTTTCAGATAACGAAAACCGCAGGTCTCCAGCATCTTCCAGTGCAAAGTTATTAGACATACAGTGACTGGCCTTCTTTTCTGAAATGGATAGTAGTTACCAAAGAAACAAATATATCGTAAAACATACTTTCCACGGCTGAACTTTTTTTAAGTTTACCACGGATCATTTCAATGAAATCGCTTGAAACGTTTCTCTTTTGATCATACAGAATAGCAATGACACCTATCGGTGTTTCAATAGAAACAGCACCGGGATCTGATGAATCCTCTAACCACAAGCAATCATCCATGGGTTTCATTAAAATATCCTAGAAAAACAATAAACCGATAAAATATGACAGCTTCTGATCAAAGAAAAGAAGTGTAGATTTCTTACATCTTTTCCTGCCATAACACGAAAATACTCCACCTTTTCTAGCGTTATAATTTGTATAATAGCATTTTTATGTATTGTAAAAGGGTTGCGGCTCTCTCGCCAATGAATTTGAACTTGATCGACTACACAGTAATTAAACAAATAGGAAGGCTGTGGTTGAATGAAATTTTTGATCAACAAATTCGTGCTAACGTACGCCATGATCACTATCGTTTCAAATAGATATCTGAAATAAATACAACCCATCATACATGATGGTGCTGAAGAAAGGCGGTTTCTGTGACAGCAAAATGGTCTTCTATTTTCGAAAAAGATTTCTATTTTGAGAATGAAGAATATACTTTACAAACCATTTTCTATTTTGCAATTTCCAATTTTTTTCTGAACTACAATATAATTAAGCTGAATAACTGTTCGTATTGTTTAATAAATGCTGCTTGTCAAAAATTTGTATTGAAACCAGTTTCCCCATTTTGCGTTTTAGAGAAAAGTGATCTATTTCACTTTGATTAAATATCTTATTAGAAACGCTGACGCCAAATAGGGTTCATTCAACATTAGCGTCAATGAACTCCACGAAAAAATGAGACATACAAATATAAATAATCGAATCTTGTACTACTTATTCCAGAAAACTAAGCAGAAAACAGTCTTATTTTTGCTTGTTCGTTAACCTCATTAAATTATTGATAAGAAGTTTTTATCTACAGTTTCAGTTGAAATGAGAATAACTGCTTTACATAGTCTACCGCTGTAGTTAATTTTTTCAATGTTATACCAAAGTGTGCTGTTAGTTTAACTATCATTTTGTCTTGAAAATGGCAATTAAACTGTCAAAACGTCGACAAAGAAATTAGTCTTCAAAGCTACTATGTCAAATGTGTTTGAAAATTATTATCCATTATAAAACAAACCTATCTAAAATGTGTTTATTATTTTCCTTTTATATGACTGATTAAAATTCGCTTTTTTTTAAAGCTCAAATGGAAATACATCTTCTTCTATGACTTTTAAAATTTGTATATTTGACTGTGAACATATTGTTATATCAAAATAATACAAAATTAAATTATTTTCAAGATCTGATGTTCTCTTTTAAAAAAACGGTAGTGAAATGACAATAGAAAACAAATTGTCCTACTCTATATACGAGTTTACAATCATAAAAAAACAAGAAAAATGAACGAGTATTCAACTAGATAAAACATAGATTCAAAGTAGAAAAAAACATAAATATACGATTAACGTAAGTTTGCAAGTTGATTTNACTTTGGAATGTTGTTGAAAGTTATATGGACAAACAAAAAGTTATGTCATTCGTAATTCTCTATTCGCATAGACGAAATAACCTTTTGTTTTAATAATACCACGATTTGCTATTACAGAATTGTATCTTGCCACCCATGCTGGCCGCCAATTTAAAGCATCATATTCATGACAATATTTTCTTAATGAATTTTGATAATCACTGTCATTAATAATATCCATTGGATCACTATGAGTTAACAGTTGAATATCATTTTCTTTAACATATTTATTTAGTTCTTCGGGAATTGTACAACACACACCCAAATTAATTTGATTTGCATATGGTTTATGCTATGAAAAAGAAAAAGAACAAATATTTATAAATGCTTACATTAAATTAATAATAAAAACTACACGACATACTTTTGCAGCAGTACATAATTCTAATAATAGCGGTAACATAAAATCGCATACACCTGCTGATAAAACTTTTTGTTTGTCCATATAACTTTCAACAACATTCCAAAGTGGCAGTAGTTCATCAATAGTTAATTTTGTACCATAATTCGGTAATGATAATAATAAACTTTCGAAATAATTTTCTTTCATTTCTTGTAATACTAAAAAAATGTTAACCAAAATAAGAAAAACACATAAATAAAGATAGTAGAAATTAGTAATTTAAAAAACCTGTTTCAATTGCATCTGATAATATTTTTGGATCCAATGAACGAAGAAATATTTTCACTAAAAGAAACATGAACATATTTTATTGTAAATAAAAGATGACACAATAATCGAGCAGTAAACAAACCCGATATTTTTAAATCTTCTCTAGTAAGTTGTTCATAATCCGTTGTATTTGAACCACCATTTGCATTGCCATTTGATAGTCCTTCATCACTCGTAATTGTTGGAAGAATTTTAACGTATTTCTCCTCCTAGTAAACAAAAACAAGAAAAATACACAAATCTAACGAGGGAACCTCTCGAGGTGATAAAACACTTTTTGCTCGGAATCTAGTGAGTATAGATTATCGACCATGCTGATTCCGAATATGACCATGGGGGTGGCCCTTAGCCCTTCAAAGACTCGGTTTCTTAGAAAACCAGTTTTTCAGAAATTCTAAAAGATAACCAGAACCTCTCTTGACGAGGCATGATTGTAGCCCACAAATTTCTGATTAAAATGAGACATCCCTCAGCTTTATACGACCTTTCTTTGCAAAGTTATAGAATTTACAAGAAAAGCTCTAAATTAATTTTTTCCTTCTTATTTTTGTAGCTTTGAGCTGACAATGAACATTTAGGGCTTTTCTTGTGAATTCTATAACTTGGCAAAGAACGGTCATGTAAAGCTGGGGGATGTCTTATTTTAATCAGAAATTTGTGGGCTACAATTATGCATCATTAAGAAAGGTTCTGGTTAAAGTTTAGTTTCTGAAAAACTGGTTTTCTAGAAAAATATCGGGTCTTTGAAGAGCTAAGGGCTACTCCAATGGTCATATTCGGAATCAGTATCGTCGATGATCTATAACCCACTAGATTCTGAGCAAAAAGCATGTGTTTGTATGTTAGTTTACCTCAAATTGTTTAAAATCATTATTTTTTCTTAATGTATGTAACATCATTGATATATATTCTATTATTTCTTCTGTGGCATTCATATTCGTTTTTTTTACCGATTTGAAACATGTTAATGTATTACCGGTATGAAATAATAAACCAGTTGCTTTAGGAAATATTGGAGATAATACAGATTCTAATTTATAATTATCCTTCAATGAAAAAAGAACGACATAAATCTAACATTTCTGACTGTGTTTTTGTACCTGTTGTTGTTGTTGTTGTTGTTGATCTTGATCGTCGTACATTTTCTAGATATTTTTTACGATCGCTTAATATCAAGAGAATACGCATATACTAAGTATGGAGGATAGGAATTATTTCTATATATATATATCTTACATTCTTAAAAGAAAATACGAACTAATCATATGTTTTGTTCTGTGATGTATTGCTATGTCAGCATGATCAATGATAAAAAATAGCAACGAAAAAGAAAAGAATAAGAACATCATTGAAAAGAGAAAGAAAAAAAGAAAAAACAGGTTAAAAGAAAAATGAAATAATATACCCTGATCAGAACAAAAAAAAAATAAATGTGTAAATTTCATTATCATTTTGTTCATATTATCTTTTACTCTGACATTCTAACAATCTATAGGCTTTCTATATATTAGAAATTTCAATTTCGATAATATAGTCGATATATAGACGAGCACGTGACTAAATTGTTTATAGTATCTGCTCTAAGAATCTGTTTTACTTTTGACAGTATCAAAGATTTCTGATGAAAACTTTTTTCAAAAATTCTCTGACTATGAGTGACGCTGCAATTCCAGTGATATCAGTCAAGTTCATTCTAATCATAACCAGACATTAAACAACTTTAGATCAAAAATTTTAAAACTCTTAAAGAGTCCTAAAATGTGTATACAATACACTCATGCCATCTTTTCTCTAGAGAAGTTCTTCTCTTAGCGACGTTTACTCTAGCAGATTTCTCTGTAACGAAACGTCAGAAAAAACAAGAAAGATTATCCGAAAACTGTAAGGTATCTTTTCAACTCTTATTAATAAAATGGTCATCACAACTCGACAAACCAAAATATCGAAAATGTGGTTCTCCTATGTCATTTTCACAGTTGAATAAGATAAATTAAAGTCCATTACGTGAACAATGGTATGTAGAGTCAAAAAAAAACATTTATTATATTTTGGAATGATCAACGTTTCTAGAAAGTTTGATCGAGATTAGAGTTGTAGTTACGAAGATAGATTTTTGGTATGGTGGTGAGGGTAGACCTTAAACATTGTTCATTAGGTACTTTCAGCACAGAAAAATACCAATGTCTGTTTCTATTAAATAAATTTTGTTTTACAATCGCTTTTTTCGCTACAGAAAAGCTCAAGCCTAGGAAACTTGAACTGGTCTTTACTATGTACACAGTCCTCGAGCCTGCCTTTCTGTAACTTTTCTCTCAAAACAGTTGAGAATATATATGTCAGACGTTACCGAAATAATTCGATGATCCATCGTCGTCCTGAGTTTTTCTATAACAAAAAAGCGATTGTAAAACAAAATTTATTTAGTTCAAACAAATCGAGTCTAAAATATCAAAATCAATGTCTGTCTGTCTGTCTTCAACGGTGAACTGCGTCCACATTCCAGTGTCTAATCAGAAATCTGTGCATCCAGAAAAACTACAAGGTAAGATAGTGAGAGATTACGATTTTTGATCTATACAGAGTGTAACAATGTGATGTTTTCCATCCTTAAAATTACAGTACTCTTTCTTTCTTTACGCTATTTTACGAATTCTACAACTTTTTTAATACACAATTAAATACGATTTTGTAGAGAATATTTTGCGCTTTCTTTTTAGAAAAAGAAAAGTTTTGAAAAATGAATCCTCTCAGGAAAAAGTTCATTTTACTCTCATAACGCTGTGACACAGATCTTTCTTCCGTTTCTAAAGTTTCTAAGGCAATGTAATTTGGACAGATCCCTATGGTATCAAACAGAATGAATTTATGTGAGACAAAAATGGAATTAAAAAACGGCACTAAAGGTACCCAAAAAATTTCTCAAAATTCAGCAGCTTGGCAACAACTTGTTTGCTCTACAAAATATTATTTTAGATGTCCGATGTCTTAAACAAATAGTAGATTTTTATAGAGAATTAAATTCTCTACCGAAAAGTATGGTTTTTAACTTTTTAACGAATACTAACGAGAGAACCGCCCCAGGTGCCCAACTCCGATTTCCTTCATTCATACCTCGTTTTATAGAACACATCGAACTGATAAAAAGCCTAAAAGAATTTTTGTCCATGGCTCTTGAAGTCTCGGTTTTCTGCAAAATCAGTTTTTGAGAAATTCTAAAAAATAATTAAAACCGTTCATAGTGAGGCATAATTATAGCCCGCACATTTCTGATTAAAATGAGACGTCTTCCATCTCTACATGACCTTTCTTTGCAAAGTTATAGAATTTACAAGAAAAGTCCTAAATTAATTTCTTCTTATGTCTACAGCTCGACAATGAACATTTAGGGCTTTTCTTGTAAATTCTGTAACTTTGTAAAGAAAGGTCGTGTAGAGCTGGAAGACGTCTCATTTTAATCAGAAATGTGCGGGCTATAATTATGTCTCACTATGAACGGTTTTAATTATTTTTTAGAATTTCTCAAAAACTGATTTTGCAGAAACCGGGACTTCAAGAGCCATGGACAAAAATTCTTTTAGGCTTTTTATCAGTTCGATGTGCTCTATAAAACGAGGTATGAATGAAGGAAATCGGAGTTGGGCACCTGGGGCGGTTCCCTCGTAAGTAGATCAAAAACTCGAAAATAAAAGAAATTTAAACTTAAATTTTCGAATTGAAACCTGATTTTTCATGAATTTTAAAGTCAATATTCGTGATCAGCGTGAAAAACTGCGTCTATTGATGTATTTTTGAGGATGAGTAGAGAAAAAACTTTTAAAAAAATACTTCGACATCAAATGGGGACCGTTACATGCTCAAGTTTTACTTCTACAATATCATTTTAAAAAAAAAGAAATAATTGAAAAGCACATGTAATCTCATGTATTTAATGAATAATATTTTATATTAAGAAAAAAAAAAACATTATTTCTATCACAGATAGCAAAACATACAAAATTCCGATTGTCTGTGCAAAAACGAAAAAGAAAAAATATATATTTCATCCAAAACCGATTGTTAATAACAATAATAAAGAAAAAAAAATACAGCAAACACCGGTATACAGGCAAAAGAGTTACAACCGATGTCTGCGTACTTAACAAATGATACACAACCATAAAAAAATATGAGAACAAGAAAAAAAAATTATCAGACATATCAAATATTTCAAAAAAAAGCACATTAATTTATTAATTTTATTTAAAATTTGTAAATGGGTAATGGATGTGCTTCCGTATTAAATATCCATTTATCAAACGGAAACAAATTAGTATCATCAAAGAGTAAATAAAAATATTTTAATGTTTCAGCTAAGAAAAATGATTCCATTTTATCTCGTGGTCTTACATTATCTTTATGTACAACATCATCGATTGTTGTATAACCGCCATCTGGAACTCGTGTATATTTTTCAAATGATTCAAATATTTTCCAACCCCATTCTTGATATTTTCTATCATTTGTTAAATAGTACATGTAATACAATGACTCAATAAATTCTGGGCGCAACAAATTTTGAGCATCATTATCCTAAATATTAAAAATAACATTAATTTTTTATAAAATATAAAATTTTTATCAGATACATTTATATTCTTTGTTTATTTTTACTTACACGAATAACAAGATCATCATTTGAACTTGGATCAATATTAAAATAAGTGATTTCAGGACTTAAACCCGTTTCATGTTTTCGATACATTTCATAACATGTTGTTGTTAAATTTTTAGCCATATCCAATAAATATGTTAAATTACGTTGAAAATGCCAACCTAATGCTAAATTACCCGCTAAAAAACATGCCAAATGATCCTAAATATAAAAATTAAACGTGTCACTATATTTTGAAGAAGAAAAAAAAATAGCAGACCATTTTTGGACTAAAAGAAGACATTGACAATAATTCACCAACAAACCAAAATTGTTGTGGATAAGAATGTCGCCAAAGATGTTTTTGAACACCGCCAATACATTCAATCCAATCTTCCCAAAACCTATATATATACAGAATATAAATCTTAAAATAATGGTCATATTTTATCTTATTTTAGATGATTACATTTGTTTCGTTTGTCCTGTCTGCAACCATTGTTTGAGTAAATATTCATAATATGAATCTCCACGAGCACCAAACGAAACGACACCGCCGGAAAAATGACCCGTTAATGGACTAATAAAAATTGGTACAAGACCATCTTTTTTCGATTCACCATGAAGTACATTTGAAGATCTGTCAGCCGCTGTCTGAAAGTAATATAATAATGTTAATGCAGAAAAAACATTTCTAAATAGAATTATTACTTCATATTTTTTATCACCAGTACAACGTGATAAGTCTCTCATTTCTAATTGAACTGAGCCCACTTCGGATGTGGAGGCATCACTTGTCCACCTAAAACGAAAATATCAATCATATTACAGGAATTGTCACATTAGAAGATCCGGGTCTTCTAATTTGTTCTGGATTTTAAAGATTTTAGAGGAATCTTGTATTGTGTCCGCAAAAAATCATTTTGTTAGCAGTACAACTGACGTTCTTTTCTAAAAAAATCTTAGAAACAGGAATCTTCTATGAGTCTTCTATTTGGGGAGGATCTTCTATTTAAGGAGGGTCTTCTAATGTGATACTCCCTTTAATTGACTTTCTGCAACAAAATCAAGTTAAAATGGCAAATACTTTTAGTATTTACGTATTGTTCAATTAAACAACATGGAAACTGAAAACTTACCGATATCCACTAGCCGTTTTTCTTTTAATATTAATTTCTGCTAATGGTAAGCCAGAGGCTGTATTGAAATTTATCAACAGTCTGTCGCCTAATTCGACCTAAAAAGAACAAAATACTTTAAACTTTCATAAATATCGTTACTAACAATAATTTTAACATACGGCTCTTTTTAAAAATATAGGATCCGCACTCAGATGATATGCACTTAATAATCCACCTAAAACTCTTATTGTTATTTCAAAATGTGAATTAAATTTATCTAATGATGGTGAATCGATATCAAACGAAGTACTGATCCATTCACGGGCATCCATATATTCTAAGAAAAACAAAAAAACTAATCAATGAACATTCAAAACATGAAAAAGATTGATTACCTTCTACCATATTCATTATATATAATGTATCAATAGAGTCGACAATTGTCAAACCAAGACCAAACCTACAAATAGATTATGAAAGTATATTCATCAACACTATAAGATACTCGAAAGAGCACATTGTGAAAATGTTGAAAGGCTTACCATAACGATGGTTTTTTCGATATTGGTTTCACTTCATCGTTACCCCATGCATATGCTTTATAAGCTTTCCATGCATGTCGCGTTGCATCTCTCACGGCTATTTGACGTTCATTCCTTGGTGCTAGAATAAAAAACAAGACAAACTAGCACATACAATCAAAGAACTCAGTTCACTTTCTCATTATACCTGAAAACTCAATTGTTTTAACTGGTACTGTCGATTTCAACTGGTCCTACAAGAAAAATGAGCAAGATTTAGCACAGCTTTTGCATCAGACAGTTATGTTCGGTTTGAATGTGTTACACTAATAACTCTTATTTTTTCCATCTTAGTATGAATCTCTGTTTATTTTCAGATTTTAATGAAAATTTTCTATTTTTTAACAGATTAATATTCATCAGATTCGCAGAATAAACTAGTAGATTAAAGATCATTATGATTTGGACAAAAATAGTTAGCCCAGAACGTATATTTTGTATACGTGAGATACATTGTGTTTCATTTCCACTAAATTTTTTAGTATATCGATCAAATTATGGAAATTGTGTGAATCAATAGCTCTTGCCAAAATGTAAATGTGAATACCACTATACGAATTCAAGAAATTATATAGAAACATTTTTCACGACAACAGAATCACGGTTTCATTTCAAACCTAAATTGATTACTCTCTTCTTCAGTTTTCTTTTAGCGAGTACAACTATGAGAAGATTATCAGCAAAACGATTATAGTGATTCTTTTCTTAGCTACCGATTGAAAGTTGTATCCGATTCAAAATCTCAGCTAATATTTTTATCATGCATTTCTGTTAGTAGTAGGTCAAAGAATCGATTTTAGAATATGATCGTAAGACTAATAGTCTGTTTCAAACATGATTTCTAGATCATCAGGTTTGAAACGTTTTTAGTATATACCGTAAAATAATTTAAGGACTAAAAATCATCGCATCATTTTTCTCAGATTTGACATGTTAATGTATGAAACTGAGAAGGAAGACTAACTAGAGACCAACTATGCTACACAAAGATTGGAAAGTCGACTGAGTAGAGCGGTAAACAGACGAAATTAGAACATCTACAAACTCATAAAAGTTTGACTATTTTTCAAAAAGAATTCCTATATTCCTATATCAGCTGATTCATTATCGTATCATATCTTCTACTGTCGTATAGATTTCATCATAACCAGCACTGTACCATATATTCACTATGAAATGAATCAGGTGACGATTAATGATCTCATAGAAGAACGATAGAGTTGTCTCAAAAATATACTCATTTTATGACACTAATTATAAGATAACTAAAGCAAATATCCGAAAACTACTTTCAGATGTGTCATCTACAATCTATACACTTTCAAATCATCTTTTTTGCAAACCTGTTCGATCAGAAATAACTGAGAACGACTGTCTGACTCGAACGAGAAAACCCCGTGTGGAAAGGAAGAAAGAAGCATTTTTCTGGGTGCAAAGCAATAAGTCTCCTTGAGTTTCACTCAGTCGACTTAAATAAGGAAAAGCTTTTCTCGGTAAACAGCATTTTTATGAAAACACTGAACAACAGAAACAAGTGTAGTTATTATACTTCTCGTACTATTGAGTTTTCTGAAGTTAAAGCTTTTCGGTACGTAGTAAGGTGCCGACAATTCAAAAGATAAGCAAAATTTTTTTTTTTGATCATTAGATCGAACTCATGGAGTTACCTAGAAAAAACTGAAAAGTGGTTTTTTGAAAGTCTTTTTTCATTTAAAAAATTTTGAAATATTGATTTTTTAAAAATGGGCAAAGACAAAATTCAGCAAAATTTTCAAGAAAAAGCAAAATTTGAGGATTTATTGTTTTTTTAAAATTTTGGTACTATTTTTTCCTGATTTTACATACAAAATTGAATATAAAAAGTAATTCAGATACTTTTAGAACCTGATTGGCCGACTGAA